ATATTTAGGTCTGTATTCACTTGATGTGTATGACCTTGACAAGAGATATATATATATATATCTTATATTGCATAGTATAGGTTTAGTATAGGGTCATGCTGGGAGCACTCTGTAGAGATTAAACTACATAAAAGCGAGGAACTACAGTCAATTTGCCAAGCCTGTGAGTATCTGCTGAGAAGACCAGATCTCTCGTGGTGTGGAAATGTACTGTAGTGCAAAATAACATCCATAAAAGCAGTTTTACATGCAGCGAGATGGTTCTTCAGCTGCTTCTTTGTTAATGAATTTCGGTACATGAGTCCGTGGATTTCTAACATCAGGACCTCAGATCTGGGAGAATTCAGGTGAACTAACTACACTAATAGTGATAGCAAATTGTTCAGTTTCCCCAACAGTGAGCTGAGGATGCATCAACATCTGCCCTTCTCAGTGCTGATATGTAAAGCAGGGCAAGAGAAGAGAATATTAGTTTCTGATACAGCAGCTGTCAGGGCTGGCCAGACACAAGCCAGGGAAGGCTTATTCTGGGGGGAGCATGTTCCTCCTCTCTGAGAAGCTAACTTTGGATAAAGTGGAGATGGAAGCAATACTCAGCTATAAGCGGTTTTAAGCGGATAAGCTTCAATATATATGGCACAGAGAAACATCTTTAGACTATTGTGTGTAAAAATAGGACATATGTAGACTGGCTGATATGAAATAGGATATTGCTGTACCACTTACATGTTGTTTCTTGAAGTAAAATTTAAGTTTCCTTTAAAACAGATCAGGGGAAGGCCAGAAAATGTGTTGTCACCCACATACAGGTGTTTTCTATTTTTTAATGTAAATAAGGAGCTTGAAATGGTGGGGCTTATTTTTAGAAGAACGTATGAATCTGGATAACCATGACGTATTACAGAAACAGCTCTGTTAAATCCTGTGTCATACATAAACAGGTGAGCTTGTCTGAAAATGGTTTGCAGCTCAAGAGTAAGTTGTTTCATTACTTGTTAAAACAGACATGAGTTTCAAAATGACAGAAACCAAATGATTTAAAGCTGGTGAAAAAAGTACCTTTTCAGAGAATATTTGAGCCAAAGAGAAGTCACTTTCCTTGCTGAATGGTTTCAAAGCACAGAATCCCTCAGCCAGGCCTAATAAAGAAACCCATGTCTCTTGTGCATCAGTGTTGTGAGAGCACTAAAATGAAATAGCCTGCATAAGGATGCAGTAAATCCAAAAAGGGTCATTGCATTAATTAACATTTTTGGCCTAAACTCTGTTTAGCTTGTCTGCAGGAAGAGAAAACTAGTAAAACAGGAAAATATCGTATGAGAGAAGCTCTTTGCTGGTACTGTCTTACACTTTTATTGTTGGAGAACACCCTCTAGGTAATTTCAAGCCTATTGGGGAAAAAACAAAAACAAAAAAAACAACAAACCCAACTGTTTGATGATTAGTAACCAGTGGATAAGAGTAGAAAACCCAAGTGAATAAAGCCATAAATACCTAAGTCCTTGAGATAACAGCCTGTAAAACTGTCAAAAACCATTGCTTAAGTGACAAAAGATGGAAGCTGGGCACTGATCTCTATTCATATATGGAATGAATATTTTTAGTTCCTTCTAGAAAGGCAAGTCTTTTCTGTTACTAATGTTCATTCTTATGTGAAAAGCAGCTGTTTTCTCTGGGTGCACTCTCACTTCAGATGTCTCAAATTCAAAAAAAAAGCTAAGTTTAATTTGCAGCACTTAATTTTAATGTTTATGTTAATCTGTGTTTCTTGGAACAAATTTTCAGACAGGGCAGTTTAATGAAACGTAAATTGTTTCAAGAGGCATTAAGAACCATTTTAAAAAGAGTTTGGATGGTCGTTTCTGTTTCACTGAGACTTTCTATGGTTTGGCTTCTCAAAGCGATCTTGCTCTAAAGCAAAGCAAATTTTTTACCAGGAAGTTGTTATAGCAACTTTATATGTATTCATATCCATGCCTCCTTGTGCTTCTCTCTCAATTATTTAATGCTAAGATAAAATTTTGATGCAGAGGAGTTTCAGTAGTGTTTGCATGTCTTACAATGTGAACAAGACCAGGTCTTTTCCTGTTTTTTTTCTTTCTAGTAAACTGGTTCAAAAAGAAAGTAGTGACATTTTAATAGTGACAAATATCTTCGTACTTGTATTTTTTTGTTGTTCAGTTTTAGCACTTCTTCAAGTATTTTAAACTGAATTTGATAACCTTTTAGTGTTTATTTCTTTTTTAAAGGAATGGATTTTACATGTTAAAGTTCACATTGAAATTAATGAAGGAAAAATACAGTTAATGGAAACCTGCAGAAAGCAGTTGTCAGCTAGTAATTTTGCTGCAAAAAGCAGAAAGTGACAGATACAACAGATGTTTAAGAGTATGATGAAGCTGGAAGACCAAAATTAGGTTCCAGAATGGTGATGTCTTTCAAGTTTGCTTCGACTCTTTCTGTTCATCAGTGGTGTCTGTTTCATGTCATCATAATTATTTTACATCTAGAGATTTTGTATGCGTTTGCAGATGGTCAGACAGAAAAAGAAAGTTTCTTTTCAGAACCACTTGATTTTTGCAGCAGTGTTGCATTGTTATCCAAAAATAGTCTGATGCTGTAGACTTTGTAGGAATCACCCTCGCTGTGTTGTTGGTTGCATTTTCTTGCATGGGGTTGATTCAATGTATGCAAGCTGTATATACCCATACAGGCAGGTCCAGAGTTTGTTATTTTGACTATGGGACCGTGAGAACTGAAGCCAGTGTTGATTTGAGGAGAGCAGATGTTAATGGTGTTTTTCTCAATCATTCTGTTGCCCAAATAGCCATCTGTTTTTGTGAGAAAAAGCAGTAAAAGGTCCTAAATGTGCCTGCTCATTATGAAAGGCAACAATAGATTGATTTATGGAGAAAAAGCAACTGCTGGGCTTAGGTAGCCTGTGTGTGTGAAACTGCATTTTACAGTGATTGGATATTGCTGATACTATTTTTGTGAACAGTTTCATTCCAACTTAAATCATGAGGGGTATTGTATAGGAATCAGAAAACTTTCTTTAGCCTGGATAACATGCCATGATAACACAGCTGTGTAAAATTTATAGTGTAGGCAGGTTTTCTTTTTGGTAACAGATTTTTAGCTCATTACTTCTTAATCTGATTTTCACCATTCCTTCTGCATGGAAACTTCTTTCTTTATGTTCTCTCTTAGTATCTGCTGTGTCTAAATACCAGATTTTTTCTTTGTCCTATGTATGCACATAAGTGTGCAAGTATGTATGGACACCCAGGCACTTCAAGCCACTGAGCCTAAGAAACAGCAAAGTAGTATAAGGAGACAAGCAACATGGCAGCAGGGAGCAAGACTTCGCAATACAACCTTCATAAGCAATAACCACCATGCGAAAATCTATATAGAATTTTTAGAAGCAATAGGCCTTTTTCAGTAATTGAATCAATTTCAGAAAGACATTTATAAGTTTTAAAGAATAGTGGAAAAACGTGTTGAAGTGTTAGTTAGACAATGTGAACTGATTTTAACACCTGTGTTCTAAAAATCTCATTCTGTTTTGTGATCTGTGGGTTCCAGATAATTTTGCTGTGTAACAAAAGAATCTTTCTGGGTCAATCACTGTTACAATATGTAGGGTCACAATACATATGGAAAGCGCTGGAATGAAGAGAAATCCAGTAACAGCAGAAGAGTTTGTTTCGAATCCTCATCTTAAGGCTTCTTTTCCAAAGAAGAAGAAAAAAAACTGTCTGAGGTTTACTACTGGCATGTAGTGTGGTCTTTTAAATTCTTTTTCTGTGTTTCTATTCTACTGTATCATTACTAATTTGGAAAATGTTGCAACTATGGTATGATAAGGACATAGGAGCCTTAGGTCTGTCATAGAATCATTAAGGTTGGAAAAGACCTCTAAGGCTTTATAAAATTATAAAGTACTTATAAACTCATTTAGACTCTTGTGGTGTATAGCCTTTCAAAGAAGGCGTTTGGAACTTCTTAGGATATTAGCTTTAGTAAAGAGCTAGATATGATGGGCTGAGGGCAACTGTATGCAATTCAACAAGGCCAGGTGCCGGGTCCTGCATTTCGGACACAACAACCCCAGGCAATGCTACAGGCTTGGGAAAGGGTCTAGAAAGTAGCTCGGCAGAAAGGGACCTGGGGGTAGTGACTGACAGCTGGCTGAACATCTGAGCCAGCAGTGTACCTGAGTGGCCAAGAAGACCAATGTCATCCTGGCTTCTATCAGAAATTGTGTGGTCAGCAGGAGTAGGGAGGGGATCATTCCCCTGGATTCGGCACTGATGAGGCTGCACCTTGAGTACTGTGTTCAGTTTTGGGCCCCTCACTACATGTAAGACACTAAGATGCTGGAAGGTGTCCAGAGAAGGGCAACAAAGCTGCTAAAAGGTCTGAGGAAGATGACTTATGGGGTGCAGATGAGGGGACTGGGATTGTTTAGACTGGAGAAGAGGAGGCTGAGGGGAGACCTTATTGCTCTCTACAACTCCCTGAAAGGAGGTTGTAGGGAGGTCCGTGCAGGTGTGTTCTTCCAAGTAACAGGTGGTAGGTCTAGGTTGGATATTGTGAAAAATTTCTCCACTGAAAGGGTTGTTAAGCACTGGAACAGGCTGCCCAGGGAAGTGGTTGAATCACTACCTCTGGATGTGTTTAAAAGTCATCAAGATGCAGTGTTTAGGGGCCTGGTTTAGCAGTGGACTTGGTAGAGTTATGTGAATGGTTGGACTTGATCATCTTAAAGGTTTTTTTCCAACCTAAACAATTCAAGATTCTGTGATAATTTAGCAGTGTGTACGTAAGTTGAGTGCGTAGCAAATTCCACAGTGTTTGCTTTACTGACATCTGAAATAGAGTATTATTCTGTTTTGTAGCATTTTATCCTGGACAGCATGTCCCAGGAAGTCACTACCAGTAAGAGATTTAGGCAAAAATGTTTCTGAAAATTGTATTTATTTATTTATTTATTTATGTTCTTTTCTTTTTTGTCTCAACAGCCCAGTCCTGCCAGTTCCAGCTCTAGTTCCAGTTCCACACCACCTCAGAACCACAGACGACAAGGTACTAAGAAAGAAAAAGAAATTTAAAAGAGTGTGTGAAATGAAGGCGCCAATAATAACAAAACTGGTGGCATCTCATTACTACTTCTTTGCTGCCTTTCACAGCCTGAAACTGGTCACAGTTTTGTTTTAGAGATTTTTTCCTTTGGTTTTCTTCAGGTGTGGCTGAAAGGATAAAATCAGAGGAGAGAAGATGAGTCCCTGAGAAAATGGTGTGAGGGGTATTTGCTTTGAAGCACTAAGTCCAAACTAGTCGCTTAACAGATGCTAAGCTAAAAAGATCTTCTGGTTCTGGGATTGTTCTTTTGCAGGCTTGGGTAGCATGGTACCTGGCTCCATCTGAAACCCTCATCAGGGAGGTGTGGTATCCCATGGGATCAGGAGCATTAAATGTACAGCTTTCGACTAATTAAAATTGCATTTCTTTTATTCATTTATATTCCTCAATGGTAGACTTGATTGAAGGTTATGAAAATACTTTAGTGCCTCAGGCATCTTTTTAAATAGATCTCCGTATGAAGTGTATCTGCCCTGCTGCCTATCTGTAGGTGACTGGTACTGATTTTCTAGTGTATTCTGGCAGTGTTACTCCAGGTGAAGGAAAGCAAGAGCTGAAGTGAACTGCCGTTGATGACCGGCTTAAGGCATTTGATTTTTACCTAAAGCTAAACAGAATCCTTTCTTGCTGAAACCCCATTTTTGCTCTCCTTAGTTGTGTGAACCGTCCGTTACATGCTGAAAGATTTGTAGGCCCATTCCTGCATCAGTTACCTTATGTTGGGCAAAACTTGTTGACGTAGTGTTTTCTTCTGAGCAGACTGGACTCATCAATCTTTTATGGCTCGTACATAAGACATACCGCAGACTGTCGTTCAGGTTATTGTACCTTCTCAGGAATGGATTGGAGATTTTACCTGTGATGTGAACAGCTCTGAACTGAAAGTGGTGTATATGTCTCCTCTTCCTTGCCACAGTAAATAGTGATCCCTGCTTCTTTCTGGGAATTCCAGTGGACTAAATGTGTACATCACCCAGGCCATGTGTGTTTGTGTATCAAAGGGATGAAGCACGATGCTTACTGTGGCGTGATCACACTGTATGTTGTGCTCTGATCAGAATCCATACTTTTTTCCCTAGCTAGAAGTTACTTGCCAAGTCCAGTGCTCTTTTTTTGGTTGCATTCAGACTCCAGTGCTCATTCAAGTGTCAGAAGACCACAGCATGAACTTCTTTCATCTCTTTTTGCAGAAGCAGTGGGCTAACCTAAAGTTCTTCGAGTTCTTTTGGCCTTGGGCCTTACTCTGATACATCTGTTTACTTACAAGAACTTTTGCTCATGGACAGCTCCTAGTTTGCAGTTTCTCCTTACCTATTCTGACACTAAACGATAACAACTTCCCAAACCCTTAATAAGGTTGTCATGGAATTCTAAATTGTTAGCAAGGAGCAGAAGATTTGTAAGTGATCTAGCACTATCAGTGCTAAAACAAAATACCTGAAAGTTAATGCTTTGTTCATTGTTAGGAAAGTCTGCTGAGAAAGTTACCTGCAAATAAAATAACTATTTAGAGTCCCAGACATAGTCGTACATTACGTGAAAGCTCATCTGAATGATAGGTTGTTCAATGCCTATGGGGCTGTCAGTTATGGATATGTCTCAGATGTCCAAGTTCCTTTTTCTCCAAGAAAACAGCCTGTTGGCAACTTGAAAGAGGACTGTCTGATTGTCCCAGAAGACAGCAAGGCAGTATCAGTGGGTAAAATGGCCCTCTGCTATACTTGGAAAAAGGACATGGGCAAGAATAGTGAGTTAGCTTACACTTGGGAAAGCAAGCTGTGTAGCAGTCATAAGGAAAGTGTGTTTGTTTTCTTTGTTTCCATTTGAAACTAAAATCATGGACTGATATCCTATATGACTTCCAAGTGTAACTACCACTTAATGTTGTGGAGTTATGTCCTGGTGTTTTATGTAAGAACAGCTATTCGTATGTCATACTAAATTTCAGTACAAAATTAAGTTTTGGTTCATTGTTGTACCTTTCCTCCCACTGACCTTTTAATCTGCTCTTTCAGCAAGAGCATGATGATGCTGTCCTTTCATCTGTCCTTTACTAAGTCCTTCCTGTGGTTTTCTTCCTCCTGTACATCGCAGAGAGGAGCCAAATGCATTCTCAGAGGCTGACTTTGACTCCTTTTAATTCAGGAAGAGAGCGTGGAGTTGTGTGGCATTGATGCACTTTATATATGAATATTGTCAAAGTGCTTACTTGTCCTGAAATTGGCACTGAATAAAGGGAACTGCTAAAGCTAAATATGTAAAAAACAGATAAACACTATCTTAGCCAGTACACCTTGGAATGATTTGTTAGACTCTGCCTCCCAATACATGGATTAACCTAACAAATGTACTATTACTGATCAGTGTGTCCTTGTCTATCTATCTTTGCATATAACACTCTTTGAGAAAGCAAAAAAATGCTAAAACCCATCAATTCAAAAGAGTCTTTCTTCTAATAGTGTTACAGTAATAGTCAATTTTTCCTGGATTGACCGTATTTTACTTACTTTTAGCTATGGTCAGCAAACACTTGAACATATGAGTCACTTCACTGTCTTGAGTAAGTCTGTTGAAGCTGAGTGAGTTGCTCGTGTGAGTAAATGATTCATACCTAAATCTCTGCAGCATAAGCCCCCAGTACATTACTTCATTTGTTTAATGTTTAAAACTTTTCCCCTCCCAACACTGTGTTGTGTACAAAGCTGGGTTAATTGAATTGCCTGGAACACTGCAAAGTCAACTTCATTTGTGTATTTTATTGCCTCTGTTGTTTCAGGTCCATTGAAGTCTGTAATGAAAGATCTGCATTCAGATGACAACGGAGATGAATCAGATGAATCAGATGAGAATGACAATGATTCTGAGTTAGAACAACCTGTAAATACACGAAGAGGAAGCAGGAGTCACAGGTGAGTGTCTTGTCATTGCTAGTAGCCTGGTGGCCAAGACATTGTGCTTGTTAGTGATGAGGTGAGGTCTAATATTCTCAAAGAGCACTGAGTTACAAATGGGCAGGGAATTCAGGCTCTCTTTTTAAAGCATATACATGTAAAAGTGCCTTTTCTAAAAGTTAAAGGAATTGGCCATTCCCAGTACAAACTATTTCTGTACTAATCCATATGTTTATGATGATCCTCATTCCTTTGACTTTCCTTGATTTCATGCCATTGTGACTTCAGGGAAATGTTCATAATTCATCTCTGACATAAAGCAGATGAAGTCAAGTCCTTCAATCACTGGATGAGCTTTTCTGTACATACTGTCTCATTGCTTACCAGTTTTAGATTAAGTTGTTAAATTCCATCAGAACCAATTAAATTTGAATTTCAAGTAATTTCTGCACTGTATGCAGTAGGTGAGGTACAAAAGCGAAGACAGAAGGCAAGCATCTGTCATAGAAATTGCATTTTTAAAAAAGCTTCTGCATCCTAGCTGCAACCTTCAGAAGTTTCTTGGAATGTCCTCTTTTCTTTGGGCTGCTTGAAGCTCCACCTGAACGTTGAAGGTTATGGAAAACCAGAAACAGTCTCTTGAACCTTTTCATAGTGTCTTCTTTACCTGATCCCACCAGGTTTTGCTGTGAGTGCACAGCACCTGAGTGCCAACACCACCTACTGCTTAAATGGGAAGGTAATAGGAAAACATTAATTAATGTCTACTGCTTGCCCAGAGCACTGTAGCAGCTGGAATCAAGGAGAAAATGACCCAGATGACTAGCAGTTTGAGAATCTATGCATGTCAGTGATTGTATAAAGGATTGTCTCAACCTCAAATTGTTTCTAAGTGTGGAGATTTTGTTTCAGTTTTTTTAACAAAACCTTTAGGCTAATGTAACTCTACCTTATCTTTATTTCAAATAACTATTTTTTTTTTCTCCTTCCAACAGAGAAATATTCCCTGTTGTTCCTAAGTAAATGAAGGTTGAGAGTGAGTAGAAGCTGAGCTTTTTCATGTGGCTTCTCCTGAGACACTTAAGTTTTAGGTTTAAGCCAGGAAAAAGAGTGTTATTTATGACAAGAAACAAGCAGCTTTTCAGTGCTTCACTGACACTGTCCATTGTCCAAGTGGAAATTATAGCTGTTTAGAAAGTTTTAGAAGAGAAGAAAAGTATCTCTAAAAAGTATTTTTCATCAGGAGGGTATGATCCAAGATACAGACTCATTCCAGGAACACTGGGAACTGCTGTTGGGAGAAGCACTTTAATGTTCTTAATATTTAACCAGTTCTGTAATATTAGCTGCTGTTAATTGGACATGTCATACTAGCCAAATGCAGGCAGACAGCCTGGTTCTCCATGCTGTGTAGAACATTTTCCAGAGTGTGGCCCTGCTCAGATGCTTCTCTTCCACATGACTTTGATTAATGATGGCTTGCCTAGCAAAGGATCATTCTTAGTGTCCTACCCTAAAGTGCATCCTCGGTTTATCCCCGTTTGTCTGGAGGTGTAATCTCTTGGCTCTGTTTTTCCACAGGGTTAGTCTGAGTAATGACAGTGACAGCAGTTCAACTTCCTCACCGCTACATCACGAGCCAGCACCACCTTTACTGAAAACTAAAAACAACCAGGTAAAGTCAGGATTCATAAATGCAGTCCTGGGGAGATGACAATGACATTCTGATTACTCCAGTGCTGATATTTAGTCTGTAAATTGACATGAGAACTTTTCTTGGGGGAGAATTATTTGATTTAGAAAATACTATAGACAAAAGTAATGTTTTTGTTAATATTTTAAGAAATATTTCTATATAATTTCTATATAAATTTGCTTTGTAAGATAAACAATACAAACTGTCTTTGTACTGACATACAAACGTAAAACTGATACTGGTTTTGGTGTGTATTGGTAGCAGACCCAGTTCACGTAAATAGGCTCATTCTCAGGAGTTTAATCATTCCTTTCTTCCCCTATTCCCCACCAGTGTTTATCTAGAATATACAATATTTTTTGCTTCATTAGAAGACACAATAGTTTTTACTTTTCTGTCAGAGTACTTGTTCAATAAGAGCTAAAGTGGTTCTTATTTTTGAGGTGGGAAAGTGGGGTAGTTCTGTTTGCCAGAGAAAATAAATTAAATAAGCTAGAGCTACAAAATACCTCAGGCAAAAAAGAGGATTAGAGTTTGGGAGTTAACTTACCCCCAGTCACCAATAAAGCAATGGTCTCCAAAGATAAAAATTAAATTTAAAAGCTGGTATTCTTTAAAAAAAAAATATAGTCATCATTGGATACTTAAAAGAGCCATAGTTCACTCCCAGTGTCAGCTGGATCATACATAAAGCAGTCATGAAATTTACTGAGTGTCAATAAATGGCTGCTTACAGTACTGATATAGTTAGAATGATGTCTACATTTATTAACAAAAGGCTGGGGTTTAGATGATGAGTTTTATGGACGAGTCTTTCCTATATCACTTAGGTTAAGTGTTTTGATTACCTAGCAGAAATTATTTACTTGTCACTGTTTTTCTAATAAAATTTCCAGTACAAGGTTACTGATAGTCCAAAATCAAAACATTATTTGTATCAGATAAGCTCAAGTACACTGTGGAGAAAAAACCCTCAGGAAGTAGTTTGTACACAGAGAAAGGAAGGAGATGCCTTGTCCAGAAAGCATTTTTACTGTCCACTAGAAACTTCATGGGCTTTTCAAAGTTGATCTGTACACAAGTTATAGAGTCTTCTGATAAAAAAACAAGCTATAAAGATGAATATTGCATTTACTGGAAATGCCAGCACAATAAAAATAAAATACCTATCTATGGCTTGTTGTCTAATAAAGATTAACTTCTACAGCAGCAATGTAATTGTTAAGTAATTGTGTCTCAATATCAGCATCACTGAGTCACATCTTTCAGATTCCTCTCTCCTTTGGTGATCAAAAAGAAGGTCTTCCTATGTGTTTAGACTCTCAAAACAAAAGCAGTGTGACAGCTAAAATTGAATGTCATATACATCCTTCCATTTTATAATCAAGCTGAAATCAGAAATTTAGGAAAGCATTATGAGAATTTGTATACGTGGTAGCCACATTTGAAATCTCTAATTGGTTGCTTAGAGTACTAAGAGCACTAACTTAGAGCTTTCCAGGGTGATGCTTTTTACTGATGAAATCAAGCTTGTGTTGATTAAGTCCATTCATAGAACTAAAGAGCTAGGACAGAGTTAATGTTTCTGTAAGCTTCTTAGATGTGATTAGAGCTATGTGTGTTCTAAACAAGAGTGCTTAAGATGTTAGGTTTCAACTACACATCAAGAGCACTATAAGGAAGTAACTTTTTTAAGTATATTGTGTCCTTACTAAGGTTCTTTTTGAAACCAAGGATTTTCTTCATTTTAAACCAAGGAGAGCATCTAAAAGGCACTGGATCTATGCCTGGAGGTCTGGGTTTTTTTGTAGAAACAAGACTTTTTCTTCCACTGGCCTACACAGCAGTAACCCCAGGAGGTGCTGAATTGAAGAACTGGAATTTTTCTTGGGAAAATTGTTTTGCTTTCTGGCGATGCATCACTCTTGGCAAGTAAATCCTTATGTAAGGTTAACTCAGATCTCCTGTTTCTCTTCATAGAGAAATAGCTGCCTGTCTGCTATAATCTTATGGTGCTGGTCACCCTGGGGAGCATATATGCAATTTTAGTCATCTGAACCAGGGAAATTAGAAATGAGGGGGAACTTAGAGAAAGCTGTCAGTGAGGCTTCTTCCTAGTCTAGAAGACTTCCCTTTATAAGCCTTATTTCCTTTTATTTGCTGTTTTGTCCTCTGTAGTGACTGTCCATTATGGTGTTGGAGATAATCATGCTGGTGATTTTAGTCTTACTTACAATGAAATATGAAAAAAAATCTCCCCTCATCTGTGACCATTTATTTTCCTTTGATGTTTTTTCAGAAGAACTGATCATACTCCAGGGTAGGAATGACATGGTGGTTGTTGCTGTTGTTAACTCTACTTTTAACTTCAAAAAATGTGTGTTGTGTGTGGAAAAAATGGAAGGACAGTTAACAGTTCCATTTCCTCAAAATATTCCTCACTTTACTTCTTACTTTTTCATATAGAACATGGTGTTCTGCTTCTTGTTTACATGCTTTTGACTGTGGTTCAGTACAGGATGAAGCATTCTTGATTTATATATGTGGTAGTAATGCTTTGTATGGCACTGAAGGAAGGGTACTGTGTAAATGCAGAAGAAATTACTGTCAAATACTTTATTCTGTTACAATGCATGCACTCATTTTAAAGACTGTTTCAAAATCTCCGTTGTAGAAGAAAAGAGACAGCACTGAGGGGAAAAAAAAGGAACAGGAAAAAATATACTGATGTTTCAAAGGCAATGGAGGATACCTCAGCATCATTTCATGTCTGCAAAATCAAACCTCTTATCCTTCTGGCACTGAAAAGATATAAGAAACTTTTAAGGCATCTTTAAATTACATGAAAGTAATTTCTTAAAGGTTAATAGTATCAATATCACTCCTTTCCAGCAATTCCACATTTTCTACTCTTTTCCTGAAAAAATAATTCAGTTGTATGGATTAAAGAGTAGAAAGCTCAGTTTTGAGTTTTGATGACGTCTTCTCCAGATTTCTTTGTGTTATTAATTGATAGCAAAATTTTTCATATGTAATTGTATCCAAAGATGCATTTAATTTTTACAGGATTTTCTTTTTTCTCCAGATTTTAGAAGTGAAAAGTCCAATAAAGCAAAGCAGATCTGACAAACAAATAAAGAATGGGGATTGTGATAAGGTAAATGAGAACAAGGTAACAGTAAACTTGTCCAGAGTGTGATATTAATGTATTTGTTATAGAATGAAAATCATAGTGATTAGTACATATTTGCTTTGCATTCCCTTAGGGGCAGATCTTCCTTTCTTTAATGTAATTGTTTCTTCTTTTCTGCTGTCTTGAAAGTGTTTTACTTCTCTTCAATAAAAATGTGGTGATCTGACAAATGTCACAAGTTGGGAATCTGCCAGCTATTATTTATTCTGTCTATTCACTACTATGAGTTTGCTTTGTGCTTGACAGATGAAGTGATAAGCAGTGTATTCCTAAACAATAAATCAATAATTAAAAAATAATTCTAGAATCCTTTCTGAAGGCTGTGCATTAGGACATGACAGTATGATTTAGCATGCTAATTAGAATGATATGAAGTACAGTTACCATTTAACACAGAGAAGGGCAGTTCAGTTTAAAATTATGTCAGGTGGCCATGGGTAAGGGCTCTAAGTCTTGTGTGACTGAACAGCACAATTTCCCAGTGTGGACAAATTCCTTTGAAGGTTCATATTTTACGTGTAGCAGCGTCAGCTTTGTAGTAACATGGGGCAGGAGACCAAAGTTTCAGTATCTTTTGCTAGATTTTCAGTGGCCTGGTCCGTATACTTTTTTGGTTTCTTAAACTGGGTGCTGTATCTCTCTGCTTAAAACAAAAAAAGTTTTTGATGGCTCAGGATGAAGGAGGAAGTTTGTAATTGGGTGCAGAGGTTAGACATGTTTGACATCCCAAGGAGGAGTACAGTGGAATTTACATTTGGATTAACCTTGCTTCATCATTCTTCCATCTCCTTCTTGGTACAGAAAATTTATTATGTAGCTGTAGAGGAGAAGAGGGATCTGATTGTGAGTCTTTGGGTTTGAGTCTTGTGTGGAAAGGTGGGGGATGTTTTTTAAAAATGCTGTTTTGACATTCCTAATCAGACACTTTTTGCCACAGTTGAGCTACAGAGATTATCTTCTGCAGCACAGGATAACCTAATCAGATTTTCATCAGCATGAATTGTCTAAAAAAACACACAAAACCTTAGTATTTGGATTGTATTAAGCTGTAGAAAGCCAGACTACTGAATAAGAAAATGTAGCTCAGAGATTTAAAATAAAATTTCCATTTCTGTTGGTTTTGAAGGCATATGAAGTTTGTGAAATACAAAGCTATGACTTAATTAACAAATTTTTTTTGGGGGGGGGATTTATTTCTAGGCATATCTCGATGAACTAGTAGAACTCCACAGAAGACTAATGACGTTGAGGGAGAGACATGTACTGCAACAGGTGAGGAGCACTCTCATGCAATATCACAGTGCGTGCTCACTGAAATTGTGACATCACATCTATTTTCTTGCCTTCATCTAAATCTCTGTAATCAGATTTAGTAGGCCTGTAAGCCTGTTTTATCCATATACAGCCCATTACCACTTTCTGTCCAGCTTAGGGAATTTTTAGATGCACTATAAATGGTGTTGTCACATTAGATGACACATTAAAAAAAAAAAAAAAAAAAGCCTATCTGAGCTAAATTTTTCACCAATTCATTGTTCTGTTGCTCATTGTGTTGTATTGATAATTATGAAAATGGGATGGGAGAATGGATACAGCTGTGCACAGTGACATAATAAAAATCCTGTGTCGTTTCTTGAAAATGACTGGCATTTTCTCAGAAAAAAAATAAAAATGTTTTCTATGGCAAAGAAAAAAACATGGAATTCAAAAGCAAAACTCACTTTGGGGAAAAAACACTATTTATTTATCCCGTCTTCTGAAGTCATGGAGTGAGTAAAATATGAAATTGTGCAAACCAAGAAGGCTGCAAATTTATTGAAAAATTTTGAAGTGGTAAGAACAAAGTGGCATTGTCAGGTATTGTTGGATTACAAATAGTGAAAATTAAGCAGTAAGCACTCTTAACAAAGCACAGATATTTTTATTATGTTTAGTGCAATTATGTGCTAGTTATAAACATGTTTTAAAGAGGTAAATTTTTACCACTTCTAAATGATTGTAATCACTCATCAAATTTCTCAACACTTGGATAAGCTTGTTAAAAATATCTTGTAAGCCCCAGCATTAATGTGTTTATTAGTTCAAGCTTAATATTGTAAGTAAAGATGAGAAAATAATTGAGAGGTCAGTGAAAAAAGAAGACCTTGGTTAAGAATATTTTTAGTTAAAGAGGAATTGAGATAGCTTTGTCAAATTTCCTAAGTTACGATACGGAATGATGCATATTGGTTGTCCTTCACATCTAATATGCTGTTGTTCCCAAGTTTCCTCTTATCTACAAAGGCAACCAAATCACTTTCAGAATAGTGGGAGAGGCAAATTTTTATCTGCGTTGGGAAATTACTGTGCAGGAGGCTAAAAGATAGGAATTGCAACGCCCTCTCCACTTTACGTTATTCGTTAGTTCTTGGAGAGTTTACATAAAAATTGAAACTGAAAAAGCCACTGTCTTTGCCATTTCACACCCTATCTTTGCTTCCCGAGCATGCACCTCCCCAGTTATCTCAGGCATAACTTCCGAATGGTTGCACTTCTGGTAGACCTCTGTAGCCAGTATTGGCTCTCGGTACAGAGCTGCGTCACTGTCCTTGCCAGCACAGTCTGACCAGAAGCCCAGCTTCCACTGGCCCTGTATTGACAGCCTGCAGAACACAAGGCTTAGATGGCTTCATGTGAAATTTCGAAAAAGAAAAAAAATCTTAAAAGATAAGAGCAAGAAAGAAACATTTTTTTTCCCCTTGACGATCTCACAGTGGAGCAGAGTCCTGGAGAAACTGTGCTGTCTCCTGGGGGACTGTACTTGCAAATCGTTTCCCTTGGTGTGCAGGCTGTCAATACAGCCCCCAGGGAAAACTGGGTTTATGGCTGGGCAGTGATGAAGGTCTCTGCGATCAGTTCTACTGATAGCTGGTAACTGTGTAATACTAGCTACAGAGGTCTTACCAGAGATCAGTGGAAGAGCCAAATTACTTACCAGTTGCCTGTTAGCCCATCTGAACTAGCAAATGGTGCATGTTGCTACAAAACAAATAAAGCAGTTTAGTTTTGAAGCTTTTAATCCCTTAATATTCTATAATTCATCACTTCCTATGATTTTATCAGTTTACAGGATTATGTTCACAATACTGAATGGATATCTTGCAGAGAATCAGTGCTTCTCTGCATTACAGATGAACTGTCATCCCATCTTAAATGTCCATACTGCTTTGTAGCTATGAAATTAGTTTAAAATACTTCCAGTGAACACAGAAATAAAAAGAGCACAGAGCTGAGAAAGTTTTTAGGAATGAATATGAAACTTCTGGACCAAGAAATACAAGTATATACGGACTATAGCAAGTACAAAGGTCAGGAGAGCAGGGGTTAAACCTGCAGAAAGGGATGATGATTACTGCATGAGAAAAGGGATTGGGTGAAAAAATATACACAGAAAACTGTAAATAGCTGCAAGAATTTTAAAGGTGGAGACGGTGTTGAAGTAGAATGCTGGTGGGGTTGTCTGTTCCTGAATGGTGACTGTCATCTCTTTAGTTTATGTCAGGGAAGGTAATAATCTCTTACATGTGTCAAAGTCTTCTACCCACAGACTTTTAGGGAATATTTAGAGAAAGGACTTGCAAGAGAAGAATGAAGGCATTGATCAGTCAAAAGCACTGACTTTTGAAACTTATGCTGAGGGATGTGAAAAAGAGAGGTCAGGTTTTTGCAATCACAGTTGCTACTGAGTCCATAGTCATGACAGCAAACAGGAGTGCAGCCAATCTGGAAATGAGAAAAATGTATCTGACAATGTGGCTCTTTCCCAAGAGAGGCATTTCTCTTTGAGACACTTTGTTAAAGGAAGCTCAAATAACTGAAAAAAAAAGAGGGGGGAGCCAGGAGAGATGCGATTCTAAACTACAAATGCCTGGAGCAGTAGCTAACTAATCCTAATGTAAAATGATACTTGCAGATATGTAAGAATTGCCCAAGAGGGAGGAAGCAGGCAAGAAATAACATTTGACCAAGAGACTAGTCCTGTGAGAATCACCTGAGCAATTTTTATGTCAATATTGGGCATGGCTAGACAAAAATTAGCCTGAAATGACATTTTCAAAAAGAAATCTCTCTCCCATCTTTTTCACTGTAAAGAAAGAGGTTGGGGTTTACACTGATGAAGCTTTTTTTTTTTTTTAACTCTCATTTCCAGTGAAGTAGTAGGTGTAACTGAATCTGCAATCACATGTTAATGCTGCACATCCCATATGTTCAAATTTGGCTGGCTACTGCTGGGTTTCTAACTCCAAATATTCAGTGCAGATGATACTAGCATGAAAGGCAGCAAGATTTCTTGTAAGACTTTGCCTCTTATTTTGAGGCGTCAGAAGTTGTACCTTCAACTGGTGCACAACCTCCTTAAAGTCAGTGCACTAGGCACCACAAGTCTAAGGAAGACATTGAAAGTATGCAGCGATGCTGAAAGTTACATTGCTTGGGTCCAGAAGGTAGCCTCACTTCAGATGGCATGTATCTTCCCAGAATTTTCTGCCAGGGGCAGTTTGCAGGTCTGGAAACTATCACATGGCCTAAAACCCTCCATAAATTGAAAAATGACTGTGTCATTAGTTGCACTTTGGCTTCCTTAAACAAACACACTCATTTGCTTGTGTAAAGGCAGATAAATAGTTGTACTATGATGGATAATGATGAAACTGAGCTGGAGAGACATTATGTAAATAGAGCTGTACATTACAGCAGAAAAGCAAAGCTTACTACAGCAGAAACAAATGAGTTATTTTTGTTCTTTGCAGCCTGAGCTCTTGGAATAAAACATTTCAATTCGTGTTTTTAATACTATAACTGTCAGACTTCCTGGCAACTAAACCAAGCTTTTATTCTTTTTCAAGTATTTCTGAATAGCATAAGGATGCTTATGCTAATACTGGAAGCCATGAATTCCTCATTGACTGGCACACAGGCAGGTGTTTTTCATTGAGCTGTCTGGGTTTATCTTCATACACTTTTGTACATCCATTAAAACTTTTGGGGTTCATTTCAGTCTGATTTCACTATGCCAGGACTGGGAGTCCTGGCATAGTGACTATATTTCTTAAGGGCTGCAAAAAGGGATATGTTTAAATTATGTTTCCCCTGGCTTAGAGCTTAAAAGCCCAAAGCAGAACCTGACCAATAAAAGCGCTTATCATTTTTTTTTTTTTTTTTAAGTATACAGTGCTGTTTAAGAACATGTGTTAACACTTTTATGTAGTCTGTGTTTCTAAAATCAGGCACAGGGTAGTACTCTTCCACCGTTAACACAAGGAAATTCCAGACCCAGTCATTCAGTGTAGCTGCATCCTTTGGCCTTAGCTTCTGTAAACTTCTTGTGCAGCCATTTATTTATCATGCAGTGGGTATTTGGAGACCAAGCCTGAGATTAGATTCCTAACTTTACAAAAGGAGACTAAATTGATGCCTTAGTTTACCTCTTAGAGGAGGCTCAAGAGAGCACCAGAAATGGGAATGACAAATGACACACATCAAAGTTTCCTTCTGTTAAGAAACAGGTTTCTTTCTCCCATATGATTTTTCTTTTCAATGCTGTTCATTACAGAACAGTAGGAGATGGAAAAGTGTTAAAAGAATCTGTGAATCAGCAAGTGGACAAATGAAGTTGGCAATTTTAGATCAAAAATTCCCATATAGAAAAAAATTAAAGCTAAGAGGCACAAAATTAAATGAAGTGTTAATAGGAGCAGGATTGTACCTAAATACTTTTGGAATTTTGAACAGCTGCAAACCAAAGTAAACAGATTTTGGGTTTATTTTTTTTGCAACCTGGGAAGTGGGTGATGATTGGAAAGGGGGATTTTTACTGTAACAGGCGTTTCCCTTGTAGTATTTTATATTGTTTTCATTCTGTTCAATCCACCCTGGCCTGTGTCATTCCATGCCTGACAATACACATCAAGTTATTTCATTTATTATCAACGTAGTCTCTTCTATGATTTGAGGAGAAAAAAAGCATGTGTTTATATAGTGAAATGGGGAGTGGAAAGTTAGAAAATATTTCATTTCAATTAATCTTTTTCAAGTTGGTATATTCCTATGGGATTTGTCATTCTAAGGTAAGCTCTGTAAGCCATGTGTGCATACATCTGTATCTCTTCCAGCTGCGGAAAAGGAATTACAGTCAAGAGTAATAAAGGAGCAGTGGTTCAGTAGAGGAATATATATGGAAGTCCTAAAACTCATTGACTTTCCAGCTGAAGGGTGCAAACAGGACACTGAACCTAGCCTAAGTACCACTGAAGGCATGGCTGGATAGACTGAGCAGAAGAGCAGTGTTCTATCCGTCCATGTCACTACCCAGAGACCTGCTTCAGGATGGGGGGGCCTTTCTCTGTAATCAGTTGGGATGTCTGTCTTGAAATGAAACAGTGCATAAGAGATTCATACCCATAGTGTGTTAGCACTGCTAGCCCTGTCTGACAAATAATGGTTTGGCTTTCCAGCTTGCTGAATGGGCTTTTTTAGGTAGGTGCACATCCTAGAACTTAACATGTCTGGAGTTGTTTGTTACAGCAATTCAGTGTTGAGTATATCCACTCTTTAAAAAAGCAGACTGCAGTTCAGAGACTAAAAGCGTCAAAACTGCAGAAAAGCACAAGTTGCGTATGTGCTCTTGACTTCACAGAGTCATAGAATGATTCAGATAGGAAGGGACCTCCCTCTGGAGGTCCTCCAGTCAGACCCTGCCCTGCTCAAACCAGGGACCTGCAAAGATGGCTTTTGAGTATCTCCAAGAAGGGATACCACGCAACCTCCCTTGCCAACCTGTGCCAGTGCTACATCACCCTCACAAGAAAACGGTGTTTTGTGATATTCAGTGAGAACTTCCCGTGTTTCAGTTTGCACACACTGCTTCTGGTCCTGTCACTGGGCACCACTGAAAAGAGCCTGGCTCCATCGTATTTGTACCCTCCCTGCAGCTGTTTGTACATGTTGATAAGATCTGCCCTCGGCCTTCTCTTCTCCAGGCTGAACAGTCCCAGTGCTCTCAGCCTCTCTTCATGGGAGGGGTGTTTTAGTCCCTGTTCTTTTCAAGAACTCCTAAGAGCTCTCCTGTTTCCTGTTTGAATGAAAACTGTGTTTATAGGTTATATAGTCACCAGAAGAAGTGATCTTATGCCATTGGTAGGAGTCTGTTATGGTTGGTTTCATTTTAAAAAAATGGTTTAAGTCTGTTACTCAGGAAGTATTTTAACTTAGAAGTATGTTAACTCAAGAAGTTAGCATGTGAACTAATGATTGATAGGAGAACTCTTGAGTACCTTTTGTCTTTGATACAGGTTAGATTCCATAAGGATTTATTTTGTACCCTTGCTTACAGGAAGGCTTATGTTAATTATTTTCTGAAGCAACCTGCCTAGCAGCACTACACACAGTATATATTCCAGACAGAGATCTACCTGTGGGTGTTGGGTTTTGTTTTGTTTTTTAATTTGCTTGGGCTTGGAGTGAGGGGAAGGGCTCTTCTGTTGTTTGGTTTTTGTTTTAAGTCAGTCTTTAAAAGAAAAAAAGCAGATTTTCTTTCAACATTTGAAAAATATATTCTCAATGGTACTGTTTGGGTGGCATTACAGTTGATAATGATGTAGAAACAATCCAAGGTACTGGGATCTGCATCATAGTTTATGTCTAAAAGGAAGTGAGTGATAAGGATAATGGTTTAACCTGTGAGTATTGGGGCAATTTGTCTTTTTTCATGACTTTCATATGATATTTAGTGGAATGTTAATACATTCAGTGGTCGTAAAACTTCTCAAATTTTCAACTGCATCTTTTATTTCAGATAGTAAATCTTATAGAAGAAACTGGACACTTTCATATCACAAATACAACCTTTGACTTTGATCTATGCTCACTGGACAAAACCACAGTACGTAAACTACAGAGTTATCTGGAAACATCTGGAACCTCCTGAGGATTCAGCATCTGGCTGTTTCTTTAAAGGAAACATTCCGAATGGTACAACCCTCTTCAGCTTTATTTTTCCTTAAAGCCAGTTGTCATCTCTTGATATGGGAGAGGAAAAGTGACAAGACTCAGATGACCACTCTTCTCAAAAAGAAAATGGCTCTGGAAGAGTTTGCCTGGATAACCTTGAAAAACAGACACAAAACCAAACAAAAATACTTGGTCTTAATGAATGTGTATGGTATCATGTATCTCTCTCTGTGGTATTCTAGTCCACAAGATGAATGCATGTTCAACACACTGCCTTATTGCATAACTGATCTATTTATTATTGCATACATGTATTCTAAAGTCAGTGAGTCATTGAATGGCACCACCAGATGTTTCGAGTATTGAGTTTCCATGTATGCTCTTTTGATGCAGTACTGTCACAAACCTAGTGACCTTATACATGTTAAAATGACACTTCTTGCTGTGTTTCTCTAGTCACTTAAAACACTACAGTCTTGTTTCTGTTTCCACAGTTCCAGGAAACAAGATACAAGTTGTGGACCAAACAGTGGCCCCATACATTGTTTCCCATCTGCCACAGTGGGTTGGGACTCAGGTCCTTGGTTCTATTCATTTACTGATCCTGACCGTGATAGAAAATGCACCAAATAGGGTTGTGTGACTTCCTATGTAGTCCTAGTGAATACATCAGTAGGACTTTTGACCAAAAAAAATTATATACACTGTCCTAAATCCAGCATCTTTTACAGGCTACATTCTTGTATCTGTTTCAATGTTATAAAATGGAATATATATGAGTGAAGGTGTTCTGCAGGATTGTGATAAAATAAGTACTAGTCCTATCTTCTAGGGAAATGTTATAGAAAAATTCTTAATTTGGAGCTATTTATTACTCTTGAATTTCAACACTCCTCTGCTGCCAGCGTGACTCACTTTTGCCATTGCGTAATGTGGTTTTTTTTATTCATATGGTATATATGGTCTGCTTGGTTTGTTTTGGGGTTTTGCTTCTGGTTTTGTTAGTATTTTTACAACTGTTAAAACTAAACCCCTTTATTTGAGATGGAAAAAAATATGTTGTAGTACAGTTACATGTTGGAATAAATACACGTACGATACATTGCATATATGTGTGTGTGTGCGCGTATATACACATACACGCGCACCTGTATATATGTATATACACACATACATGCATATATGCTTTTTACACTTTCCAGATTTGGGTATCTGTTCAATAACATGCTCGTGATTCCAGGAGGATTTCATATCTATAAAAATGAGTACTATTTTATACCATCCATTATTCCTTAAAACCAGGATCCTTGTTTATGGATGATCAACTGAGAGCGTCTCAGTTTCACATCAAAGCTCCATGCTCTCATACTGCTGATGGCTTCTTGATGAGATCATCATCCTTCTATTAGAAGTTCAGATCCCCTGTTGAAAAGAGAAAAGCATTTTAAAATTACTTCTGGATGCAAACGTTTATTCAGGTTTATCAGCCTTAAAAAACGTATCTTGTTCCTGGACAGGCCAGTATGTTGTGTATGGTTATATGCCACATGCAGTCTGTATGTGCAGAACTGAACAGTAGTATCTTATGACTTACTGTTTCATATGCACAGTTTGTGCATCACTTTTGGGTTATTTCTTATTCAGATGGTAAATCTTAATACTGTTTCTTCAAGTCCAAAGAAAACCTTACGCTCCTCTCTTTTTGAGAGGGTGGGATACGGATTTGGCACGGAGGCTTCTTTGTTTAAAACGTTGTTTGACCACACTCCGCAGGAAGTCCTTCTCAGGCTTCCCAAGAATAAGTGTACTTTTTCAGTAATATTATGACTCTTAATGATGACTGGCATGAAGCATACTTGAAGCGTTATGTTGTTCTTTTAAGTCCATGTCTTAATGTGCAATTGGGGAGCGAGGGGTAGGAGTAATTTAATGTTACTTTTGACATAAGGCAGGTGGTGGCGGGGAGAGGGAAGGAGTGCATGTTACGGGGATAAACTTCAATTTTTATTGATTATTTTATATGAAAATGTTTGGAAATCTAGAAGCAACGTTTGGTCTGCTAGTGTGTGTTCAACTTCCTGTCTTTTGCTTATACCAGATACATATGGAATTTTGTCCATTTTGACTTTTCTAAGTTTTGTGGTAAAAACTCACTGAGTTTCAGGAGGGGAAGAATATATACTTGATACATGATACTTCTAGTATGACTTTTGCACTGTTTTGTTAGAAATGGTGAAATGAATCATTTTGCCCTTAACATGCCAGATAAGCTTTATTATACACTGAGAACGGGGATGCAAGAAAACAGCAAGTAGAGTAGGTGTAAAAGGTAGATGACAGCAATTTCAGTTTCAAGTTAGTGCTGAATTTCACACAAATTGGGGATCATCCTTAAACTCTTATATTTTCTAATTCAGTGGGAGAGGGAAGAAAATACACTGCAGTTGTGTGTGTGTGTGCGTGTTTACTTTTTCACAAAATTCTCATAGAGTAAGAGTTACTAAGTGTTGATCTAAATTTGAAAAAAAAAACTATTTTCATCTAATTTTGTATGCAGAAACAAAATAAATCCTTGTTCACTTAATTTTGGACTTCCATATTTCTCTTAAACTAAAATATTAGTTGTATCCAATAATAAGGACAGTTTTCATCTTGCCACTAACTTTTCATCTCAGAAAGTGATGTCCACCTTGGTAGACAAGTTTAAATATATTTTTAAAAGTTTGAATCCACTGAGGGGCTTTACAAAAATTTCAATGTCATCTAGATTTGAAGGCAATCTTAGTCCATACTGAAGAGAAAGAGCAAGAAAAGAAGAAGGGGCATACACTGGAGTAAGGAGAGTCTTCCTAAGTAAAAGAAAACCCACTGCTCAGTCTTCAGCCTTTGGACTGTGAGAAATGGGTGATCATTTTTCTCTCTCTTTTTCATTGTTTGGGCAGTTTTGGGTTAAGTCTATGCTTTTAATTTCAGAAGCACGGTACACATAGTACAGTGCGTCTGGAGAGCTCAGCATATTTCTATTAAAGTTTCTGCATGTCTGGGGGAAGGAAATTACGAGTCCCTGGTTCGGTGGTCTGACCCATTCTCCTTCTTTCCCATTGTCACGGTTTAGGTTCAGGGCTGCACCCAGACCTGTAACAGATGCTCTCTGTTAAACTCCCCACAAAAGGGGAGAGAAAGGGAATAAGGGAGAGAGACTTACCGATTAGAAAACAGCTTTCATGAAAATAATTATAATAATTATACTAACAATAAAAAAAATTGAATATATACAAAACCGGTATAGAATCCAATGTCCCCCAGATGGCAATATGTCACCGTCACCCCTGTTGCTGTGGAGCAGGCCCTGGAGAAGAGTCCTAGACTGGGACAACTGGGTACAGGAGGTGGATTCTGGAACTCAGCTCAGAAACACTTGGGATCAGAGGCAGAATGGATGGAGTCCTCCTCAGATGCTGGCCAGTGATGAAGCAGAAAAAGGGAGGAAGAAGACTTGATCCTCATGATCATTCAGCTTTATACTGAGTATGAGGGATATGGGATGGAATACCCCACTGGTCAATTTAGGGTCCCCTGTCCTGTCCACTCCTCACTGCATGTGTGGCCTTTACGTTCTACCCCCCTCCATGTGGTGCACAGGATTTAGCAGTGACCTTGGTCTGCTCACCAACCCTTGGTGGTAACTCTAAACATGGAGTGTTATCACTGCTAGAAGCAGATTCTGTCTGCAAAAATATGCTGTTAGCTTCAGACAGTGCAGTTAGTTAGAAGAGATTGATCTGAGAATTAAAATAACTGAACAGTATTAGTTCTTTTCTAACCCAAACCAGAACACCCATTCACACACTGAAGTATGTTCACAACCTGTTTTGGGTCCTTGGTCTTTACTTGGTAAGTACCATCTTGTTTTTTTAGAAGCTGTACTAGTGTTTTGTAGTCTCTTGAATAACCAGTTGATTTCAAGCCCCATTACTTAGTTTGCAAAATTAACTGGAAAGCTGTAATTAGTCTGAAAACTGCCCTGTTCCATTGTTGTGTGCATTATCTCGCTCCATACACTTCTCTGGTGGTAGGATGTTTGATTAGCTTCATACCATCTTTGTTCGCACACGCCATATCCCACCTTTCACCAGTTCCAGTTTAACAGCAAAAACGGTATCCTTTAGCAAGCTCTTGTTTTAGTCTACAGAGGAACTTGTTATTTCTGTGTTTGCTCATCGGTCCACTGATCTGCACAGTTTTCTGTCGTGCAGTGCACTGAAATTGAGAGAGCTATAATGAAAATTTTGTGAGACTTTAAGCCATAGCAGGAGCTAGCAGGAACTGCAAAAATAAGCAGTGAAAAAAAACGTTTTCCAAAGTTTAAAAAGGGCAAGGCACGTGTTTTTATGAGCCTCAATAGTTTTCTCAATTGTTAAGCTGTATGTGGTAGGATGTAGTGTACACCAGGAAGCTATTCTGTATATTGTACCAAGAAGCTTTACTGTTGGGCATAAGGCTTTCAGACAGATGATGGGGGCTAAAACTCTTGTATTTGCAGTGCCTTTATGTGTGTTTGGGAGTTAATTAGTGCATTAACACAGCTAAGCCATGACATTTACAGGTCTGGCTCTGTGTCTGAGCAAGCAGATGAATTAAGATCAAAGCACAGTCACATGAGGGGCTTGCGTTTACTTGAGCAGCGAGAAATGCCACTGTGATCAGACAGGAAAGAGGAGTATTACACACCGAGAACGATACTCTTTGGGGGCAAGGGGGAGCTAGGGGGGAAAAAAAAGTAAAGAAGAGATCCCTTAGTAATTAGATGTGTCTCCTTACGTTAGCACAGAGAATGCAGTCTGCTGGTCAGCAGTTCTGTCTGCTGTAAGATAGGGTGACAGCTTGCAGTGACAGCTTCTTTGATTCACTGCTGTAATAATTGTGTTGTTCCTGAGTTGATGAGAAAGAGATGTATTGCAGCGTTGTACAAAAAAC